GAGATCAAACTTTTAGACAACCACTAGATGGCTCTTCAAAACCATTAGATATAAATGTTACTGAAGCTTTTAAGAAATCCTATATTTTACAACATTTTTAAATACACTTTTTTTTACTAGATATAATCAATAGGGATAGCAGACTAATGGGTAGTTAACTATGCACATAATATTTAGAAATTTAAATAAAGTAAAAAAAACAGGACTTTTTTTTTTAAAGAGGAATACATGCATATCCTGCCATGCACCAAAATGCTACAGTCCCCATGAAAATGAAATAGTTGCTCTGTTGTACTGTTATTTAAATTGATGTCTTCATTCTAGATTCAGGAATACTGCATAATTCTGTGGCACCATATCAACCATTATTTCTGTGTGAGTATTCATCAGAATCAGACTTGAAGCAAAATGTTCAAATGAGGCTCCTAGCAATAAACATATCAATAAATAAAATGTGATATTTGCTGCCTATTAACAATGATTCTGATCTGTCATCTGATACAAATGGTTTACTAATTCTATGGCTGAAGAAGATTCTTCAAAGGCAAGAGAAAATCATGAAACTTTCTATGCTTGTAAAAAATGCATAAGAGAACCTATATGGTGTAGTGGTTTGAGTGAGAGCTGGAAGACTTGAGATCAGGGTTCAATTCCCCACTTGGCCATGGAAACCGACTGGGTGATCTTTAGTTCTAGAATTTCTCAGCCCTAGAAAAACCTATGATAGGTTCACCTTACGATTGCCATAAGCTGGACAAAACATGAATGCACACATCATCAACAACAAAGATTCATAAACCTGGCAATAAGTCTTATTTATATTATCACATAAAGAATGTAGATATGTCTTTGTTTACTGCAGTTGTTTCTTCAAAATTAAGGTTACATTCCTATATGTATACATTATACATTCCTACGTACGCATTGGCTGGCATTCTGTTAGGGACATATGCCACCATTCATCAGTCACCACTGCACTGCAGACATATTCTACTAATAGCAGAGGAAGCAGGGTTATGGAGACAGAGTCTTCTGTGCCTTGTCTTCACAAGTTGTGCATTGTGCATTACATTTAGTGGTTGCATATTGTGGTTATACATTGAGGTTGTGCAACCCATGTGACTGCACATCCTATGCTTTGCAGTGCAGTGTGCATCCTGCCCTTTGCATTGTTGTGGTGCATTGCTCAATGGCACCTAGTCAGTGACATGTGTTCTGCCATGTAGCTGTTCTGCATGTGGGTTGCATATCTCCGCATGCAGGTATTTTCACTGCACTAAAGGAATGTTGGATTGAGGCCATTGTCACTCATTGATATAATTTGCTATTGAAGAGTGCATGAAATATTGGACTCTGAATTAGAGTAAGAGATTTTACAGTTCAAGAAGCATGGATTAATATTCTGCTTTGGTGATCAATTTTCAAATTTGAATTAGCATATCTTTTAAAAATTGTCTTTAATTCACTAATTTTGCTTTACATACTAAATGTTTATTTGTTAATTCTTATTGATAAAAATACTTGTACTCTGCTTCCCTAGTTATACATTTTACTACTGCTATGTAGGATTGCACCTGTGAAATCTGTATGATGCAGTGTTTTCTTTTTGTCTTGTCAGGCTGAGCAAAAGGCTTGATCACAGTCTGACTGAACCTGTTGTGTTATCTAATGGGACATAAATGAAGAAAGATTAGGTTTTGAACCTAATCTTTCAAATATTTTAGTGCAAAAACACACATTTTGCATTTCTGCAAAATAAAAATGGTCCTAGAATGCACATGTATGAACCGATTTTCACCAATCTTGATATTTAGACTTAGCCTATTCTCCTGAATTTTAGGATCAATCTGAAAATGTCAGCATTTTCAGAAAATTTATGGTTTGGATCCATTTCCCATGAAATCCATTTTGAAGTGTATAAGTGATTTTTTGTTTCATTCAAGTAACCAGTGAAGCCACCAACATCACCCCATGTGCACATGCTTTTAATTCACCTGTCGACCTATGGGGACTCTATGAATTTCATATGGTTTTCTTAGGCAAGGAATACTCAGAGGCACCATTTGGGCTGTTCCTTTATTATTTAATGGTGTTTAAACATCTGTTTAACATATTTGTATTGGTCATGGGAATATCGCTTATACAGAACACTTTTACACTTACTCATACAGGGATTTCTGAGGTAGAATAGCACCTAACCAGCCTGAAGTGCCAAAAATCTAGGAAAAACTATCCCAGATCAGATGTTTCCATAATGTATGCACCTGAATTATGTGTGATGTTGGAGTACTTTGACTTATACAATGATTTGTCTGCACCTATTATAAACAAAAGAAAATAATTTTCTTAACATGGTGGTCTCCTAAAGTTAAAATTAGAATGCAGTATATTTGAGAATTTTTCACCTACAGCAGATTTTAGCATGAGTTTTCTCCTTCACATATTGAATGGTTGATTAAAAAACATATAAAAAGGACCTTTGAACTATCTGTTATCTTTATAATTGATCTAAACTTCTTTTTTAAAAAAAAAAGAGATATCAGCATAAGCATATAGTATCATGCTGGCTGGAGGTGAAGGGCATAGCAGTCTAATGCATTTGGAGCTTGTGATATTGTCAAATGCTGCATAACACATAAAAATACCCCCAAAATGATGTAAATGACAAAGGAACATGTATTTTCATTTTGAAACAAAAAATGCTCAAGCATGAGTTCTTGAATCAGAAGGGTTATAAGTCAGATAGTATATGACTGGTTTTGTCCCCAAAGATTTATTTATTTCATCGGAACCATCAAAGGAAAGGAGAAAGAGGCTCTGCTCTATATAAAACTGTATTGTTCCAATTAAATTGAATTTCTTCACCAAATAAAAATACTTGGGATCAGAATGCCAATCAATGACCATAGGGATGCTTGTGTAGAACTGACAGCTAGCATATAACTGGCTAGATAAATATATGTGCCATTTGATTTTTTTCTGCTTCGCTGGGTAAGGTTTTTCATGAGAAAGAGAGAGAGAGAATATTTGAGTGTTTCATTTTTTTTCCTTAAGCTGGTCTGAACATCCCACAGTATTAACAAATGACTGTCTAAATTTAAACACAAATAAATATGTGATAAGTTGTTTAGAGAGCCTTTATCTGTACAAATTGCAATCAGATAATTCCTTACTTAATAAATACAGTTGTACACAAGCTGATCAAAGATAAAAAGCAATCTGGGCCAGAGTCAGTGATGAGTATTCTTGGAGAGCTGTCAAGGCCCAGTACCCTGGGGAGTTTCCACAACTGATACCTCCTAAGCATTGTTAAAGAACAATGGCAGCCACTGCAGACTTCCTTCCCTTTAAAAAAGGCATCATTTGATTCATTTATTTCATTGGGCTTCTCTGTCTTCTATATAGTCTGTGGGGGGATCACAACAGTAATATAATGAAACAAAGACTGAAGTAGATAAATAGAAAACCAAAGATGTTTCTTACTCACTACACACACTTCAACACTCTCTGACCCCATCCTCATAGGGGTGTCCTACATTCATGTATTCCTCTCACCACAGGCTAGTCCCATCACAAAACTGGATCTGCCAGTTCATCTCCATGCACAAAGACCAGTTTCCTATGTCTTTGTGAATTAATGACCATCATTAAGACTGGACCTGCCACCTCATTTCCATACACAAGGATTTGTAATTTGAATTGAGATCCTCACATATATATATATGTCTGTGCCTGGCCTCCATTCCACCAAATGCATCTGAGAAAGTTGACTGAAGTCTATGAAAGCTCATGCTGCCAATTTCTTTCTTTCCGTTAGTCTCAAAAGTGCTACAAGATCTCTCTACTAGCAGAAGTGAATAAAACATTTCACCACATAAAACCAAATTAAAACTAGCAGCAGGATAAAAGGGGCGGAAAGACTAAAATAGGTCCTAAAAGACAAAAAAGGTCATGAAAAAGAGCAGGCAACCTTTTCTGAGAAAGGTGTTTCACCTTTTTTGTTGTTATCCACCTTTGGGTTAATTATTTATTAAAATAATTATAACCCACCCTTTATCATACTGTCCTGGCAGCATACCATACAATCCATACAATCAGCTAAACCAAATTAAATAATAACAAACAATAAGAAATCATTGAAATAGACTAACAGTGTAATCTCATAATTTCAAGCTAGACAGTTAAAGTCAATGAAAACATTTTTAAACAATTTGAAAATATCGAAGTTAAACCTCACTGATTTAAGAAGGAACTAGGGGAAAACAACAACCATAGGTTACAAAGACGCATAGACTATAGCCATCGGTGTTATCCAAGGCTCCACAGTAGTATAAATCCATTTAGAATCTTTCAAACAAAATGGAAAGAAAGTGAATTTGATATATAAGCCAGTGGTGAATAAAACTGGGCAGAGGCAGGGGATGTGAGAGACACCACAATGCACTTTTCTTTCTTGAATAGGGAAATACTTTTTTCACTGCAAATCCATGCCTACATACTAATTATTAATGCAATGAAGGAGATGTCCAAGACACATCTGTGGTAGATTTCCCATTCTTTTGAGTGAATAAATTCTCCCTTCCCCCCCCCCCCTTCCAGTATCTTGCAAAAAGGATTCATTGTATTTTGATTAATCCATCCTCGGTCCACCTCAAATGTTTCCATGGAGACCAGATTTCTCCCCCTTCCCCCCTTGAAGGCAGCTGTTAGCTTCATGAAGCTTAGCTCAGTTCCCCTTGCAAACCCACTTGAGCGCCTAAAGAACCCCTTATTTGATCT